CCATCTTGGGTGCCTGTGGTGAGGGTCAAGAGGGGACACATGTCCCTGGGAGCAGAGAGGGGCTGGCTCCACTGTCCTGAGTGGGATGCAGTGGGTTGTGGCCTTGGGGCCATGCAGGAGGGTTTCTTGCAGGGTTGTGTGTCATGTAATAAAAGCTGGGTCAGCAGCCATGTGCGGGGTTTGCACAGGATTTGTTTTGTCTCCTCCATGTTTCCCCAGCCAGGAATCCCAGCAGTAACTGATCTCCTGGGCAGCCCCGTGCCTTCCCCCGCCTGCCACTTCCCGGGCATTTTGAAACCCAAGCGGCCTCGCCGCCTCCCCCAGCCCGGCCATGTGCTCGGCCGGAGGGTGTGGGGGATCGGGTAGACGTGTGCTCCCAGCTCCCGCTCCGGTGGCTAATCCCTCAGTCTGAGCCCTCACGGGGCATCACCGGGTGTCTGCTCCAGCCCCTCACACCTGGCCTCCAGCCTCACCCCACTCAGGGACCCTGCAGCACCACGTCCTCGCTTCTCCCTGCCCCTCGTGGACTGACCAGCCTGCTCTCCATCCCCATGTCCGCCACCCACACCGTGCAGGATGTCTCTGGGGGCACGGGCTGCTCTGGCAGCCTCCGCTTCCTCACCCTCACAGGGACGAGCAGCCACGAGCAGCGACTGGTGGAGGGATTGACGTCTGGCAAGAAGGAGTGGATCCATTGTGCCAGGCAGTCAGGGAGCTCTGCTTCACTCTGCCTCATGGATGGTGGCAAATGTGGCCCGGGCACGCGCAATCTGCCCTTTGCAGGAGCCAGGAGCTGGCCAAACTCAGGCTGCCCGGGTCAGGGTAGGGAATTGGGGCCAGGGGTGGGTCAAGACTGGGTATAACATGCTTCCCAGGAGCTGGTGAGCTGTGAAAGCCATCAGGGTCACCTGCGGTCCCCGAGGGTTGCGCTGCTGGTGGCATTCTTCCAGATGGCCTGCTGCAACCACGTGTGGACATCGCCTTCGGACGTGGGAGCGGGTGGGAGCAGCCTGGTCCTCCCTGGGTCTCCTGCTCCTTGCCAGGTGCTGGTGACGTGGGGCTGTTCCCTGCCTGCAGCAGGTACCTCGCTGTGCCGGTGCGCTGGCATGGGCTGCCCCAGGGCCTGACCGGCAGCATGTGGCCATGTCCCCTGGGAGAGGGGACCTGAGGACACTGTCAGCAAAGACAAGATGTCCTCCCCCTACCGCTCAGCCCGGTGTCCCCCTTCTCTGGTTTGTCTCAGGGGAAACAAGGCCAAAATCCAGCCTGGCCCAGCTCAGCCTGTCTGCAAAAACAGCACT